CAAAAAGTAAAATCTATATTTGTGAATATGTCATCGGTTCCTGGGCAGGGGGGGATTAAGATGATTAAGACCCATTACCTCCCCCCCGGGTAGTCTACTAATAGTAACTGAGGGAGCATAGCTTGTCCCGGCTTAAGCGGTGGGGTGCCACGGTGATGGGCGATATCTGATCGAAGTAAATCCCTGTAAGACGACGTAGGATTTCGCCGGCGAGTGAGGAAAAATCGCTGCAACCTAACGCGATAAACAGCATGTCTACACTAACGGGACTAATGACCTTAGCAGTTGACACGCCAGGAATTGCTAATCAACCAATCAGCAGACATATGAACATTGAAAATTTTCCTCACTTCACATTTATTGAATTTACGTCTCCACCCCCACAACAAAAGCAATTCGAATCCTAAGCAAGCAACGGTCGTGCAGGGGCAGCAGGTGAAGCGGCGCTCGTGACGGCGGCGGAGGAGGGCCAGACGGCCATGGTGGGCGCGCTGCTCGCCCTGGGCGTGGACGCGGACGCGTCGTCGGCGCGCCGCTCGGACCGCGACGGCTGGGCGCCGCTGCACGCCGCCGCCTACCACGGCCATGCCGCGTGCGTGGCGGCGCTGGTGCGGGCGGGCGCGCGCGTCGACGCCGCCACCCCCGCGGGCCTCACGCCGCTTCACCTGGCCGCGCTGCACAACCGCGCGCCCTGCGCCGCTGCGCTGCTAGCCGCCGGCGCCCCCGCACGCACGCCCGACAGCGCTGGGAAGACGCCCGCCGCCTACGCGCAGCAGTTCGCCCACGACGACGTCCTCGCAGTCCTGCGCTCGCGAGCGCCCCCCACTCCTATCAGCCAACGGGCTACGCAATAAAGCTCTCAGTCGGCATTCGGCTCTTCTATTTCATTCACTGCCAGTTCTTTCGCGCACAGACGTGGTGGAAGAGGTACTTCAGCAGGGTTCACCCGGTTCCGTACTTTACGATCTACCAAGGGTGAACCCGGGGCCAAATGTACAGAAGTTCGCTTACGACGACGTCCTCGCGGACCTGCGCTTCACTTCCAACCACTGTCTCATTCAGATATGGTGGGAGAGAGATTTCAGCGGGGTTCACTCTGTGACGGACTTTCAGATCTACCAAGGGTGACAAGTGTCGCGAGACCCAATTCATTCGTATTACGCCTGCCACCTACGCGCAGCAGTTTGCACACGACTGCGTCCTCGCGAGTACTCCCCCCCCCCTTCCCTGTCAACCAACGGACTACGTAATAAAGCTCTAAATCGGATTTCGGAACTTTTTCATTCACTACCAGAGCCAGATATGATTGAAGAGGGTTTTCAGCGTGATTCTCGCTCCAAGTCCCTCTTTCCGATGTACCCGTACCGTGCTGCGGGACGCTATTTACGAAAAGGGTAGTCTTCATTAACCCCAGGCTCCCTCTGGCAGCAATTGAAACTAGCGGAGCTACAGCAACACATATGTTCTCACATTATTTGTAACTTTTGCAATTTTGGAAAATTCAGAGAATTCAACGAAGTGAAGTTTTTATAAGTGCACATTTCTCAATTCGAGAACAAAATTCAAAAACGAATGTGGAGTCGTTTTTGAGAAAAAAAAATTAACTAACATCAAGCAAAAATTAAGCAAAAGCTCGTCACATTTTCAATCAATTGTACAATACCTTATTTGAAGATTAATTTTTGAACATATTTCAATAAGAACAAAAGTTTCTAACATCAAAGCACTTCTGCAATATTAATATTTTACAATTATCAAACATGTAAAAATTCTCCTAAAATGATTGATTACTGATTCCGACCGGTCAACTGCAAAAGATCCTTAGTTCCGTAAGTGTGGGGCAGTTTGTTTTTTTTTATCGCGGGAGGTGACGGTGATCACCCTGCGCTGGCTGGCGGATCCAGCACCGACCTTCGTCAGCTTGCTAAGCTCACGACTTATCGCTTGACAAGTGTGGGTGGTAATGTAGTGCATGTGAGCGTGATTGTAAGTAAGCGATGAGGAGAGGACAAAGAAGAGGAAGGAAAGATCGCACGCAGTCCATGGCTCGTTTGTTAGGGTTCTGATCCGGCATTTGCCTCGTTTTATAAACTTTCGCACTGTTGTCCACATCACTAATTTTAAGACGAGTAAGAATATTTATTAACAATTCATTCAGTCATTCACTCAGTCACAGAGTACAGACTGTAATCGAAGAAACCACAGAAAACTACTGATCAGAGAAGCCAGCCGCTAGAATTCTCTCATCCAGACACGCACTGAAATCAACTTAGCATTTAGCTATTGTCGAAAATCCTGCCCGGAGCCTCCCGATCTGAGGCACTGCAGTGACATAAATTGATGCCATGAGCCACCTTTGCCGGTTTCACCGAAAAAGCGACCTACACCATTTTCATTAGCATACTTTGCTCTATTAAAAAAAAAAAAAGTTTTTGAGAAACAAAATGCCTACCATATTTGAGAGAAAATTACGGCACAACTATATTTTTGAAAATTGTTCATGACGTTATTGTCTTTGGAGAATAGATTTCGTTAACGGAATATATCTCAACCTTTAATATTTTAATTGCTGGAAATCGGCGAAAAACGTTTGAAGTTTTCTAATTTTCGAAAATTGAGAGTTCAACCAAAATAAGACCTACGTCATTTTTTGTCTTTTGCTTTATCTGACAAAAGTGTAATCACAAATTATAAAGCCCTTTCTGCGAAAATTTTGAAAAGGTTACGGCTTCATGTAAAGTATCCCCAAAACTCAAAATATTCCTTTCAAATTTGCAGGGCCTAGAGCTCAGCCAGATCGATCGGGTAATATCAATTTTGGAGAAATTTGTCTGAACACTAGGTACTAGAGTTGACCACAGATGGACAGACAGACATTTTGTTGAAAGTTTTCCCCCCAAGATTTTCCCTTTTAGAAGGTACAATTACACAAAACGAGAGGAGTTTTATTACATAATAATTTTGTATTGGTTTCGAGGTCTGATACATGCCAGTTCAGTATGTTTTCTGTTCCTGTTAAGCTCATTTTCTACAGTACCAAAGGAAATAATTATAAAGAAATGCATTGCTAAAAGAGTGGATTTGAGGAAAAAGTTTCATGGCGGTCAGAAATGTAATTATTTCAACAACAAAAAATTATCCAAAATCCAATTCAATTTCACATTATTGTAACAATTTACATCTAATAATTTTCATTTATTTACATTTTTAAAACTAATTAGTTTATGTATAAGACAAAAAAAAAAAAATTAGCAGATGTTGCAAAATGTAAAGAAATATATATCAATATTACATAAGTATTTAGAAAGTTTCTTACACCGATATTTAAATTTGGGAATCACACTATGAAAAAAAGTTCTCCTATATCTATATGTCTTTATACAGACTGCTATCCCTAAACTATTTGCATGTATTATAATAAAAAACGCTCTACTTTGCTGAATCCTATTGATCAGCAACATGGTTTTAGACATGAGCATTCCATGACCACCAACTTATTATCTTTTCAGCACTTTCATCTCAAAAAATCAAATTAATGTGATTTATATTGATTTTGCCGAAGCTTTTAACACAATCAACCACGATATGTTATTAGTCAAATTAAATGAAATAGGTATTCATCATTATTAAATTGGATGTTTAAATTATTTGAGTAACAGAATTCAAAGTGTGAAATATAAATCTTATACATTGAGAATACCGACTTACTTTCAGTGTCCCTCAAGGGTCCCATTTGGGTTTAGTTTTATTTCTTGTGTCTATAAACAACAGAGAATTGCAATTAACTTGTAGTGATTTTCTTTTATTTGCGGATGATATGAAATTTCACAGATCAATATCTGGAATAAATGGTTGTCACTTATTGCAAGAAGATTTAAACGCTTGTACTTGTGGTGTACGGAAAACCAAATTATCCCTGAATGTATCAATATGTTGCCATGAGTTTTTCTGGAGTGAGGTCACAAATAGTATTCTCTTATAATATTGTTAATTATATCTTGGAAAATCTAGGTGTCATCTATTATCAAAAACTGAAATTTAATTTTCATATTAATCATATTACAAATAATTGTCATATGCTGGGATTTGTAAAACGTGATACAACAGACTTCTCTAATCCCGAATTATTTAAAATTTTATATTTCACACTTATTAGACCAATTTTAATACATGCTTCTCCTGTCTGGTCACTTTTTTATGCAATACACATAAATAAAATTGAATCAATTCAACACATTTTTTTCTTTTGTAGCTTGGAAACTAAAACTCACATCACCCAGAATATCTCATGACTTCGTGAATTGCTGAAATTGTGAAGATTTTTCCTTGGTCATATTATCAAAACCATAACAAATTATTTTTACACAAACTTGTACATAATAATGTTGACCATCCTTTGTTTGGGGGAAAATCCCTACCTTCATTGACAACCAATGTTTGGCATAATACCCCACATTCGCGTATGTGCAGGCTAGTAAATAAAATACCCATAAATTAATACTTCTCTACCCCTATGTAATGCTGCCTCAAACCCCCTTCCCCCTCTAGTGTTACATAATTTATGGCCAATCCCTAAGCTCTTGATGCTCGAATAGGCATTTAAAGGCACTACAAAACCCTTTTCTTTTGTGAACATGAATAATGGGGTAAGTTGCCTAAAGTTACATTCAAAGAAATAAAATACGCAAATAGGGTATTGTCTGGGCTTATTAATCTACTGGTAAAACTGACCATTCCACGACACTTCAGGAAAGTTCATAGATGTGAATATGAATTACATTATATTCCGTTAGAATTTTGCACTATTCCTCAGCTTCTAGTAATTCAATTCTAACAATATGCAAGTCAATCACTCTCAATTTCAATATTTAGCAAAGTTTAATTTTGGATTACAGTGAATTCTGACTAAGATTACTATCCGATTAGACCTTTCCCTTCCAATGCCACTGAAAAACTAGAATGATTTAGAAGTGAAATGACTGAAAACTCAATGTGAAAGTTGCAGGAAGATCTTTTATTCACATGGCTGGAAAAGTTACAACTTTATTGTACAAGTAGACATTACATATTCATAGTGTTAATTAATTCATCCTTAGACTTAAAATTCTCCAAATAATAATACTCCATCCTCCAATATTTGCACCAAATACTTTTGGAGAGTGCAAAGAAACTAAAACCCCTAGAATATCTGAAAAAATAAAACAATCACAGATGAAAAACACCTGTTTTTCAGTTAACACTCCAGTACTTGCATAGGGTATTTGGATACCGCGAAGTCCACGATTTTTGTGTTGCTACTTCTCAGATATGGAGTTTATAACCCGCATGTGTATTCTTAAATGAATATGTAAGAAATAAATTTTATTGTATTTCATTAAGTTCATTCAATAAGTAAGTGTTTGTTATAGTAAGTCACTGGAGTGATAGGCTTACCCTGCACAAGCATTTTTGTAATCAATTACATTTTTCTTGTCATAACACATTGTAAATGAATAGTAACTGCACTTGCCCTACATTTGGAGTCACCTTACTAATGGACTCAGCAGTAATAAATAAGGACTTCACAATTATGTATATTGCTTAAGTTTATAAACAGTAGTAACCAAGGCTGTCTTCACAATTATATTTGTGTAGGAACTTCACTATCTGTAAACATCATCCTCACTCATGGGTCAGAATTAAACTATCTCACAAGCACAGTTTCATCAGCTAATAGGCCAGACCCCATACAAATCAGTAATTCCAAGCCAATACACTCTAAATCAGAGATTGTTGGCAATGCCTGGCAAATCCTTACTACTGTATTATTTTATAGTAGAGCTGTATTTCATTTTATCCTAAAGTTTATTTCACATTGCAGGTATGAAGTTACCTGATTCTGTATTTTATATTTCTTAAAAAAAAAATTTCTCTTTAGTTTTATTGTTTTGTTTACATTATAATGTCTTTAAAGTTTCCATGCATATTGACGGAATATATTGTTAGTAAATAATAGATTAATGTATTTCACTGTATAGAACACAATACTGTTTCTTTCCTTTTCCTTTACTAACCTCATATTTTGGTTATCAACGAGGAGTATTCAAATACCCCGTACGAGTGAACTTGAGTACTGGTTACACGAGTATTGGAGTGTTAAAAACCAAACGTTTCATTAAATAATACCATCACCAGCTCTTAGAATTTCAATATCTTCCAAAACTTAAAAGGTTAAAGGAAATCTTCAAAAAAGTAAAAGCTATGTTTTTTTCACTTTTTCTTTACTCTCTTTTTCGGTTAGTTCAGTTTCAACATTTTCGAAAACAGGGTACTACCTGAGTAACAAGGCCAGCTGCTATGGTGACTCCACCCACTCTTAACATGAAGCGCCCCAATTCTTTGACATCTCTGTACAACTCCAGGCACACAGGTCGAGAGGTTGTGAGTTCCACAACAGCATTGGAATTCTTAACAAGACATCTTGGACGTCGCTTCACAACTTCCCCTGAACTTTTATGCAATTGTGCAACCAGTTTGGTGATCACAGCTTGCTCTGACAAGGACTGATGATGTAGAATGACCTTCAAGAAAAGAAGAGCTTAATTTAAACAACAAAATTAAACAATTTTTCATCAGTATAACTGAAGGAACTTTTCCTCTCTTTCAAATCTCCAATATATCCCCCCCCCCCAAACCAGCCACCAACTATGCAATTGTAGGCTTATTACTTATTAACTATGCAAATTAACTCTTAGTTGTCCAGGTGTACTACATCTTTGGCTGGTTGGTACAAAGCAGCTCAAGCTTTAAAATTCTAAAGTCTAAGATGTGGTACACTACTACTTTTTATAAACACAAAATAAAAATTATAAAAAAGTGAACTCACCGAAAACCCCTTTGTAATGGGAACCTTTATATTAAAAACCACAATTCGAGCTTCAAAACGTGACGTTACAGGAATGGGTTGTGTTGTATCACACAATATATATCCAACAGACACATTCTGCATTTCTATTCCAGAGAGTGTCACACTCACTTGATCTCCAGCATAGGCGATTGAGGTAGGTGCATCATCAATAGTAACAGCTGCAATGAAGTCTCAGCTGATCAGGACATATCTCATCAATAAGACACAACACAAAAATAGACATCCCGATATACACGATAGAAACGTCAATATACATAAACCTTTGATGCTGATCACAGTTATGAAGGAACCATGAGCAGAGTGACATTGTGGTAATAGAAACAAAATGTTGCTTGCAATCATATCACAGTGGGTTCAGTAAAAGGTACTTTTCAGTATATCAAATATGGGTTATACCAAAGACGTAAAAAAAATAGTACATTTCGGTGGTTCTGGTACACAGACATATTTATTTGACAATTGTTATGGAGTCCTTGCTCCCTCAAGTAAAATTATGACATTAGTAGCAACAACATTTAAGAGTTAAGCCTGTATATTGTATGCATAGCTCATTGTTTCATTTGGTTACTGCTTCTTGTAGACCAGTTTACACAATTGCTCAGGAGAGTAAAAGATCTATTTTTATCTTTTGTGCTTCAACCATATTCAATATTACATAATAAACTGGGGAACACTTGTTTTTAACACAGAGAAAGCACATCACAATAAAAAATACCTTTTATAACTGCCACCTCATTCTGCGGCTGCACCAACACCTTATCTCCTGTTTCCACCAACCCAGTTTCCACTCTACCAGAGATACAGAAACCAGAACCTGTGCCTTTGAATATGTCATTTACCGACAGCCTAAATGGTTTAGTAATTGGTCTCTCTGGAGCTCTGAAATTATCTGAAACCAAATACACACAGAATGAAAGATCTTTCTTATTGATAAATACTGAACTTGCACCTCTTAAAAGAACAGCAAGGCCATTTACCAATAACACTTACCAATAACATCCAAGAGAGTCGGGCCCTTGTACCACTCTAAGAGCTTCTCTTCTGTTGGGGGATTGACCAAGTTTATTCCAGTCAATCCACTGCATGGAACAAATGTCACATCTGATTCTCTGAAGCCAGCTTGTCGAAGGAAAGTTCCCAATTTTCCAACAATCTCCTGAAATCTATCCTGATTCCAGCCGACAGTGTCCAACTTATTTACCACAACCCCTAACTGATTGACACCTAAAACGAATAGTGATACAAAACGAATAGTGATAAATAAAGTGTAGCAAACAAGTCATTCCATGCAAAACTGGAGTCGCAAAATCTTGGGTATTCTGAAATCTGTGAAATTTTTTATGTTATCTATTAACGAAAATAAGTAAGGATTATTTTGTTTCAAAGTTACTAATTTTAACCTAATTCAAAATTTGGAAAATTAAAATTTTGTCACACAACATGATATGTCAAATTTTTCCCTCTCTAAATCTTTCATCGTACAAACCTATATTTGGGCTCACAATTCAAGGTAAAGAAGCAACTTTTCAACAAATGTTCTCACAAAATTGCACAACTGTTATATTCTACTTTTTGGAAAAGTTTGCTGTTTTAAAAATTAGTTTTCAATCAGATACTAATGATTTTTGGAATTAAAATTAATAACCACAAATTTGTTGAATGTTTCACTTGATATAGAACAAATTTTCAAACTTATGTTTGTTTGTTGTTTTTTGTTTTTTTTTTGTGAATAAAATAATCAATATATTATGTAGGCAGCTGGTTATTATCAATGACAAATATCAAAAAGCAGTCTAAGAAATACAATCACTAGGTTAAATGTGATAGCAGTGATAAGGTGTGATTAACATCCCCATCTGTGTTTTGTTTGTGAAGGACAGTTGTAAATAATAGTTAAGATTGAAGATTAAAAGATATGTTATAATTTAAATTTCAATTATTTAAATAAATAAAAATAAAATAAACATTGCAGAAATACAAGAACAAGAGACGTGCAACAAAGATATTCTCCAAAAGTTGGACATGAGAAGATGTTCATTTGATTCAACAATCAGCCCCCATCTCCAATTTCCTTTAGGTATTCTGTGGGTGCAGACTTCAGTTCAATAAGAATCGAAGTATTCTCCATGGCATGCAAACGTGTTTCACATTACAAATAATGTTTCTTTGTCTTTGTGCAAAAAAGAAGTCCCAAAATAGGATTTTTGGCATCAGCACTACTGTGCATGTCATTTTAAACTGTATTATAATAGTGTGGTACCTACTAAGTTCATGATTTGTAATTAACCCTGTAACTTGCATAAGTTACAAACTGTGCCTACTTACTGAGGCATCAACAAAAATTTGTGCTATATGCCAACTCCAGTGGTCATTGAACATAATGGTGTGTGAGCAGAACTTTTTTTTTCATGCATGCTTCACTAAGGATTTCACATCCCCAAGTCCCATTCAAATTACCCTACTAAGCTATCTTAGGGTTTGGCTAGTGTATGTAAAACGTCTCATCATACCGTTCACTCTTTATTTATCCATGCATTATGCCATACACGTGTTGTGGATTGCATCTGCGAACTGCCAATTTATTTGTAGCATAATCTACAAAAATTCCACATAAATCATAAATCTGTTAGATGCATCCCTGAAGATTCCCTAGCAAACAAATATATTTTTGGGATTTTCTGTCTATGGCACCTTATAAACAGTATAAAATCTGAACTTTCCATAGTGCTTTATATATAAAGGGGATAATATCAGTCAATACATAAGAATTTTATGAAAAATTAAACATTTGCAATGCACAAAACATAACTGGTTAAGCAAGGCAAAACAAAACAAAAAATTCAGTTTTATACACTAGTACAATTATTTGCAGAAACATCTGAGACATCTATGTCCAATATCCTAGACAATTATCCAATTTGGCATGGAATGATTTCTTTAATCATATCCTTTTGCATACCACTTATTCATCAACACTCATTGAAGAACAATGATTTAATTAGGTAACCATTTAATATTTTGAAACCATGGTTTCCTTAACTTCAATGAAAGTTAACTTGGATAAAAGTATCATACTTATAATGAACTAATTCATTTCCTTTCAAACACAATAACTGAATTTAGATTTGAAACTCCTACCTAAAGACCTGACAAGTAGAGCATGCTCTCTTGTCTGTCCCCCCATCTCAAAGCCAGTTTCAAACTCGCCCCTTGTGGCATCCACCACAAGGATGGCCACATCAGCTTGAGTGGCTCCTGTAATCATGTTAGGAATGAAGTCCTTATGCCCTGGAGCATCCAGTAAAGTAACGATTTTCGTGTGTGTTTCAAACTTAGACTGCCCAACATCCATCGTGATTCCACGGGATCTGAAAATATCAAAACATGATTGGTTAATCTTCAATTTTGTCAATAAAATGGTGTTTTAATTAATAATGAACAATCTCTGAAAACACACTGAATTTTTAAAATTATTTACTTAAAAGTGCTTAAAATTTGAAGAAAAGTTAACTTATTATATTCCTCTCATTTAAAACCCTAAAAAAATATGAATTAAATAAAATTAATCAATGAATGAAATGTGGAAAATAAATAAAACATTTACGATTCCTAACATACAATAAATGCTATATTAAAAATTCAATCCACGTTAATGAAACTGAGAAAAAATCATTACTCAGCCCTCCATAATTTAAATGGTTGTTTTTAATTAATTAAAAAAAAAGCTAGGACACAAAAATTATCTTGCTCTGAGATTCTTACAATGTAAATATAATTATGAAAATCAAACTCCAAATTGGTGGCCTCTCAATTACCAATTGACTCTGAATATTGTAAAAAGATTTGTTCATTCCATTCCTACGTATTAACAAGTGCCAACAACATTACTTAAAGGTTTATCCACATTTCCTGATTTTATACTATGGAATTTATGGGCTAATTAAAAATTACAACTTTGTGCAGTAAAATTTCTCCTCTCCTACAAATCTTACAACTTAAAAGACTTCATACATATGTGAAATCTTGCACCCATCGTTCAGAAATAATCATTTTGATTAATGGCTGATGGATTGCTTCCTTCTACTAATGAAACCAAGAACTCTCACTTACCTCTCCTCCCCAGTTTCATCCAATATCCAGGCATACATGAAGGATTGCTTTCCCAGCTTTTTGCTCTCTTGTTCATACTTGTGCATTGTCTTCTTGTTTACTTGCCCCAGGGTGTATAGCAAGTGGCCCATGAGAGTAGACTTGCCTGCGTCCACATGGCCAATCACTACCAGGTGCAGATGACTCTTGCTCTGTGCTCGGTCTTGCTTGTAAAGGGCCAGTGCATCTGTTTTATGCAATCGAGAACTGAAAATGGAAGCAAAACAATGAGCCTCTACTCATTTTCATGTTTTCAAATTTTTAAGAAACATAAGTTGGCAAACTAGAGTGAATTAGTTCACATTCTGCAACTGTAACACTGAATGGTACTGATATATAACTTCATGGCCTACAGAATGTCTGATTTCCAATGATTTCAATTAATACTTGAAGCAATATTAATTTTTCTAATTCATGGTTAAGTTTACAACACACTGACAAGATAGTAACATTTTGAGTAAATTTTAAAATAGTTCCAAAGTAGTTAACTATGATTTACACTCATGCTGATATGATTAACTTAACCAGGAATGTTTCATAATCTATTTTTTTCTTCACACAGTAAATTACATCAATTCTAGGAAATTTATTTACAATAGTATAATGGAGCATTTTAAACATTCAAACAAAGTAATGTAAAGCCAAATGTTAAAAATATTTTCGAAATAATCTCTTCTTTTATTTATTTCAATAACATAATTTTCTATGAATAAATGGAAAAGTGGTGTGTGCTAACCGAGGAGTCTTTCCACTCTCCTTAACAGCTTTCTTATCTCCTGCTTCCACATCAAAGGAATCACCCTCAGGGTTGTTGGGACTCAGCCTGCCGGAGCCAGGAGACTGAGACCGAGGAGTAACCGCATTGGAGCTCCTTAAGTTCTCTATCACCTCTGTAACATCACAGTCCATCACATACAATCATTAAGACCTAAAGGCAACTACATCATACACTAGAGAAGATCAGGAGAGAGAGAGAGTCAAAATGTTTATTTAAGAATAATTACCAGAGCCTCTATTTTTATAATTTATAATTTAATTAATATCATTTTAAGTTTTTCAAAAAGATGACAGCTTTGCTTCACACTTCATTTCAAGAACATTAGAAACTTTATTTTTACACTAACCCCTCTCCCCACCAACCCCCCAAAAGATACACTGCCTTTACACTAAATAACACCATTACCTCTCACACTGATTGGTGTGGGCAGATGTCAATAAATATTTACAGTATTTTACAATTTATACATCTTTCCCAACATTTCATTGCACCCTACCCAAGCTTAGAACTTTAATTTTTAGTTTAAGTATTCTTTTTCAAAATTTAGTCCATTTAATTCCTGGAAAAATGATTTCAGTAATTCAGAACTTGAGGTAAACTGAGGTATGTTCTGTTTTATTAAAATTTGTAGAAGGACTTCTTAGAATTTTTTTGCTTTCAATATTTATGATGGTAAATGGTGGTAACTATCTGTCTCACAATTGCATTATATAAAAAGTAATAGTTGTAATGGATGTTATAGTGTTTAGCAATGTACAATGACCTTCCTGTTTATTTACTCCAAAATTGAAAGAGGAGATAATATCCTTTTCCTCTGGAGTATAGTATTAATAAACATGCAGGCATTTCCAATTTGTTTTAGATCTTGAAATCATTTCTCTTAACTGCTGAAAGAGCAAAAATGAAACAAACAACAGCTTATTTTTCCCTTCTCCCAGTAGGTTATCACATGATTTCCCCACGCAATCCAATAACAACCAAATAATAATTACCAAATAACATAGCATTACCACTCATCTTACACTCTTCTATGTCAAATGTCCACTTGTTTGTTGGAATCTGTCATCAGATATTATTTTAAACAAAAGTTTTTTCCAGTAGATCATCACTATACTGTCCAAATGTCAAAGCCTTAATGCACGCATAAAAGTGGTAAGATTTAATTTACTTCCATTAATATCTGAAATTACTTTGCTTAATAAACAGCCAAAATGATACAAGGTGGACCCTTGCAAATATGCGGCACTTTGTAAATGAACATTGTTTTAAATGTGAAAATAACTTCACCCTGGAACTCAACTTGAACCATGTGCATCAACCTTTGCTAGCAATACAGATTCTCTCCAAAAATGTAATAAGAACATCCAAGAAGGTCTCATTGTTTAGATTACAACATTAGAAACAAACACATTTTTAAGGGCATACAACAAAATGCTTCTTACTCGTACATTTCACAATGGTAAGATGGGTTGTGGGTTGCCTGTGTACCTGCTTTTCCCCTATTCCACAATTTGTGAATTTCTATTTTTACATCTGAAATTTTCATTGCATGATTGAGGGGGTGGGGGAATTTCTTCTTCAGCAATAGCTCACTTAAGAGTGGACAAAGAAAAACTGAATTTTTGACCTTTTTTGAATTTTAACAAAATTTAAAACACAATTTTTTCTGCATATTCTCATGTTTTATTTACTTGATGCAATAATGAGGTGAGTGATTTCATAGGTTTAATTTCACCACTCATTTCTATATTTTGTAGGAAGTAATTTAAGTGACAATAAATATATGTTACTGAAATGTGTCTGGTAAATTTCATATTTCAGGTTTTCTGACAAAAAGTACAGAGAAAATAAGATAAAAATTTTGACATTTACTTAAAATATGGTGTAAATTACAAAATTGAATTGAATTGAA